AATTTTCCTAAAGTGAATTTTTGAGTTTTGAACAACTATTCAGAGGCGGATTTGAGTGAAATTAGTATGGTTGGACTCCTAATTGAATGAGTTGTAGTATTTTGTGAGTTTTTTCGGGTTCCGAGGTGCGAGCTCGGGTTTGACTTTTTGGTTGACTTTGAGTTATTGATTAAAGATTCGACCTTTATCATTTGGGATTGTTTCCTTGGGCATTATTGGATGCTTTTGAGTTACTTTTTGCTAGTTTCGAGCTGCTCGGAGGTTGATATGCACGGGATGGCATTTATAGAGTATTGTTTTGCTTGATCGGTATTGTTTTGGATTGTTTGAGGTGAGTATCGTATTTAAACATGGTTGAGGCACGAGTTGCCTGAATTATTTGTGATAGCTACGTACTATGGGTGCACACATGTGTGGGGTTTGAGCCCATGTGTGAACACCGGGGATATTTATCCATTCTCGGGTTGTGCTTAGGCTATGATAAGCATAGAATTGACTGTTAAGATTTAAGCTATGATGTTTCTCATATTTGTAACATTGTGTGAACTATTTGAGCCGTGTTTGAGGCTACATAGAGGTTTAATCCCCGAATAAACTTGATAAATGCTATTCTGTGATGAAATTGCTGATTGGTGCTATGATAGCACACTTTGCACATGCCTACACTTTAGCATGAGATTTGTTATTCATTCATCACATACATGTATTCTTGTTTATTTGCTCTTGTGTGATATGATTTGGATTGGGTGCCTGTGACCACACCAGGCAGATTATGTTGATATGCTTGTGACCACGTCGGGCAAATTGTGTTGATATTCCCATGACCACACCGGGTGGATTTTATTAATATGCATTTGACCTCACCAGGCGAATTGTGATATAGCATGTAACCACATCGGGCGGATCCATCACATTGAGCCTGTGACCACGTCGGATGGATTATGATATTGAGCATGTGATCACGCCGGGCTGGTAGCACATTGAATTGGCCGTGCTTGCATGTAGATAAGGATCTACCCCCTAGGGTCACCCTCTCATGTTTCTCTCTTGCTGGTGTACACACAGAATGTGAGAAACCGACAGGTTTCTGGTTGATGTGAGCTTGGGGAGAGCTGGTTACGTTGAATTGCCATATATGCAGCATTGTGGACTTGTCGGAACACTTTCAAACAAATAATTGTGACCATAAAAGTGGTTTTACCTGAGATTTCCTGATTTAATCATATATCTGTTCTATACTTGTTGAAATTATTAACTGCACAGGTGTTAGTGAGCATCATCTATAGTTCTTGCTTCTTTTACCTTGCCGAGGTTAGTTAGAATACTTATTGAGTACATGGGGTCTATTGCACTCAAACTATACTTCTACAATATGCGTGTCGATCTTGGAGTTGTTGCTGATGTGTATGGCAGGAGCTGACATTGAAGATGTAGCCGTGCTCCATTTATGGCTATCACTTGCCCTTGGTAGCTTTAGATTCAAATTCTATTCCAGTACAATCCAAACAGATTTTGTAATTATTTCAGTTTAGTTTTTAAAAAATCTATGTCTTAGTGGCTTATGACTAGTACAACCAGTCCTTGGGGAGTTGTATAAAATTTAGTTATTTCATTTTTGAATCTTATCATTGTCATTATATTTATGTTTTATTGCTATTTGGCTTACCTAGTGGGTTGGGCTAGGTGCCATCATGATGGGTTGGATTTTGGGTTGTGACAAATTGGTATCAAAGCCCTAGCTTCATAGTTCTACGAGTCATGAGAAGATGTCTAGTAGAGTCTTGCGGATTAGTATGATGACGTCCTTACCTATCTTTGAGAGGCTACAAGGCATCTATTATAAACCTCCCATCTTTCATTCTTTATCGTGCGGTATTGATTCAGCTTGAAGCATATCTCTTTGAATTCCTTCCTCTCACTCATATGTGTATGTAAGCGCTCGATATCAGCTGTGCATTGATGGCTTGTGATTTCCATGAAGGAGGTGCGAGATGTCTTTTCTGTGTTTTGATGGCGGGCCATTCTGGAGGACTTGAGGCTGGGGTTTGACCGCGACTTGGGCTTGATGGTTTCAGTTATGAGAGTATGCGCTTGTTGGACTCATATGCCCGGTGGTGTCCCTAGAAGTGGGATTTATGGCTCGGCGAATGGTTGGTTAACTATATAATGTGTATGATGTGACTGCGGGATGTGTTCATATGGTTTTTAGTACGACGTTAAGATTTTGCTTGGTATGTGAAAGGGCTACGATCACTTAATTTATGTGGATGTATTATACAGTTTTGAATTATGAGTGTTTTGATGGATGCTTTCATGTTGTTCATTTGTGGAACGAAGTAAATTATCTTATCTTGTAGATGAGTTCAGACTCGGGAAGATTAAGTGATTGCGTAGTAATTGTGGTTGTGAAAGAGTATAGAGAGATGGCAGTTTGAGGCTAAGCATGTGGGTTATCACCTACGGGGTAATCTATGAATGTATGATCCTTATGATGTTGTGTGGAGGGTTTCTTTCTACCAGTGGGTTATATGTGTTGCGATTTGTGTTTGGATTGGTTGAAAAAGTTGACCTGACTGTCACGAGGATGAATGCGAGCTTAGCAGATGATTTGAACTATTGTATGGTTTGTGTTGCATGAGTTTGTGAAGAATTTAGTTGAATCTCACTACGGGGTTATGGCAGTAATAGAGTATGGGTATTGTGAGTTATCAGATGTTTTATTATATGGCGTTGAGCCAAGTAGGGGAGTCTACCATCGGCGATTTGATTGCATGGTTATGTGCTGTATTGGTTTCGGTCTGAGGCATACTTATGGATCGGTTATGACTTGCATAGGTTAGTTTTGAGGATGACTTGAGTAAGGGATTTCTGGAGGCATGATGTATTATACCTTATGGATATATGAAGTCTTGGAAATGTCCTAGGGTTGTTGTTCGTGATAGATGTAATGTACCAAGAAAAAGGATTCACTCGGTTGTTTATTGGTACGGATTACTTCTTTGGGTGTTATTCTGCTAATGGGGCACAAGTTGTTCGACCCGTTTGGGCGGTGCAATTGAGATTTGAGCAGAGTGGATGACTCTCGAGAAGGTTCTAATGGATTCAAGATTTATATGTGGTAATGGAGAATTTCTCTGAATTTGTATATGGCTAATAACTGAGATTTGCATTGGATAGTGCTAGGACTTGTGGTATTTCTGTATCCCTATGAATTCTACATTTCAGTATCCGGGAGGTAAAAGGAAAAACTTTAAATTCGCAGAAGGTCTCTTCAGAGTGGGTGTCTCAGTTGTGGTACCTTTAGGGTGCTTAAGAGGGAATACAACGGCTTATGGGCCTTGGGGTGATGTGGTTTTATGCTAAGATCTCTCATGGTGAGCGTTGAGTTAAGGGTCGTAGTATGCTAGCAAAGAGAAGTATCAACTTGAAGGTAATTCAAAAGAAACTAAGAGGAAATAAGACATCTTGGTAGTAGGTTGGATCAGTATGGTAATGGTATGCTCGGTTCTTTTGGTTCTTACGGTGTGATGAGGCTTTACAGGTGTTTTGTGGCAATACTCTTGGGTTTGGCGACCTGCGTGACTTGGTTGAGTTAGAAGAATTCAGTTCTGATATCTTGGTTATGTGCAAATAGGTTTCGTAAAGTTCTCGATGATTCCTTCCATGGCTTGGGGTGGATATTTTATACAAGCATGAAGAGTTTTTTGTGCGTTATGATTTTCTCCTGAATAGGATATGGTGAAAGGTTTCTAGCTAATTGAATATGTAATCTACTTGTGACTTAGAATTGATAATGTGATTCTCGTGCTTTTCACATGATGGCATGATAGATGCGGTGTGTCCTGTGGGATTGGGATTTGCATGTACAAGGTGGCAGTTCAGTTTTGGAGAGAAGGTCATGAATTTTGAACAGCATGGACTGTTTCAGATGTTTAGATGAATGTTATTACTAATTGGTATTTCCTGAGAAGGGTGCGCATTTCAGAAGGCGTACTGTGTTCTGACTTCGGATGCTTCATTGGTACTGCGGTACTCGTCTGGTTGATCGACAGTTGATATTTAGATTTTACCATGTGGTGCAGGGGAATTATAGAAGTATTTCTCATGGGATGATTGTGTATGAGTGATATGATAGTCATTCGAGTGGTGGAGCTGGGATCGACAATAGTGATTCATGTATTCTATGGATTTGGAGACTGGAGTTCTTAGAATTAAATTATTTCGGGGTTGCGGAATGTGAAGATGTGGCCAATGTTAGCTAAATGGTGGTGCGTGTTATGGTTAGATCATTGTGGACTTTTGGAGGGCTATTTATCCCTTTGGGGATGGCCAGAGTTGATTTGGGGGCCCATTGGTAGGCCCGATGAGGATGTGTATTCTATACCGGGTCAGATTTGTTGACTCAGAACTGTTAGTGTTGAGAGGTGTGTCATTCGGTTAGAGTTGAGCTTGTTCGTGTTTTGAGATGTTCTGTGTGTTACTCTTCTATGCTATGAGGGGTTCTGATTTGCTGGTTATATGCACACATGATGCGATTCTGTTTGGGCATTATGGCGGAACTCGAGCCAGATGGTTAATGGGGTGTTGAATGGTTAACGAGGGGTTGTGATTGTCTTTCCTGTTTGTGGTATATGGTGCTATCCATTTCTCCATGGTTATAGTCACGCACTTCGTGTACTTGATGTCAAATTGTGTGTGGTTGTTGATTTTTGAGCATTGTGGCTTGAGATATTTCATATGGACCGGTGTTTGGCTAGGGTCACGCATTGTAGCAGAGTTATGTTGGAATATGATCCTTTATGTTAGTTCCATGTATCTCGGTTCTACTATATGTGATGGGTACTTAGCATTGCGCTTGTGGTGGTATCTATTGAACCTGCGGGACGGTTCTTTCATTTGAGTCATTTTCCATTTTTGAGTGCATTTGAATTGTTGCTTATCGGTACACGGATTGCACGGTTTGTTGCTCAGACATTACCACCAATTTTAAATTTTTAACATATTCTAAAACAAGTTTACATAAGTAAACTCTCATAAAACTAGATAAAATGTCATAACTAAATACAGAAATTTTCCAAAACGAGGGTGTCACTAAGTACATGAGCCTCTATATAATGACATAGTCTGATACACTGTCTAAAAAGTAGAACTGAATAAATAAAACTGAAAGATACGGGGAGGAAGGTCAAGGTCTGTGAATGCCATAACAGCTACCTCGATGATCTCCGAATAGGTAAAAACTCCACGATCAACAACCACCGTGCCCGGAAATGTCTGGATCTGCACAGGAGGTGTAGGGTATAGTATGAGTACAATTAACTCAATAAGTATCGCAATTAAACAAGGCAAGATAAGAGAAGATTAAATTATTTAGGATACTAGTTGATTCAGAGTGATTCTGTCCCATTAGACCAACACAGTATAATATTTAAACCTAACTCATAAGGCTTCGTGAGAAGAATATTTGTGTGTACACGTGCATTGTTTTTTCAAAATACCCCGCTCAACAATATTATGGCATGTAGAGGAAAGAAACAAGTGAATAAGATAAATGATCAAGGAAATACAAGTTCCACACACTGCACAGACAACTCACGTGATGCACGGACAACTCACGTGCTAACGATAGAACCTGCACGGAACACTCACGTGCGACACGAACAACTCACGTGTCAATAATATCAATATATGAATCCACATGGATAAGTCACGTGCTGTACGGATAACTCATGTGCCAATAATATGAATACATGGATCCGCACGGACAACTCACGTGCTACACGAACAACTCACATGCCAATAATATCAATACATGGATCTGCATGGATAACTCACGTGCTGCACGGACAACTCACATGCCAATAACATAATCCGCCCGGCATAGCCGCAGGCCCCAGTCCAACAATATCATACATAAGCAATAAAACAAGTATACAGGTATATGATGAATGAAATAAGATTCTCATGTCACTGGATTGGTGTAAATAACATGCTAAAGTGTAGGCATGTCCATAGTGTTCTATCATAGCTCAAACCGGAAATTTTATCAATGAAAAGCATTTATTAAGCTCGTTCAGGGGTTAAACCTCTAAGTAGCCTCATCAGGGCTCAACTAGATCACATAAACTGTTACGATATGTGAGATATCAAAGCTTAAAGCTTAACAGTGCTTTATGGGCTTATAAGATCCCGAGCACAACCCAAACATCAATATATAATCCCGGTGCCTGCACATGGGATCATCCCCAATAATGTCCGTAACCCAAAGGCACGTGGTTATCATAACAATTTAGGCAACTAGTGCCTCAACCGAGTTTAAATATGATACTTACCTCAAACCGAGAAAATCTCTACTCCAACAAGCCCTTGCCTCGCGAGTCGGCCTCCGAATACCTCGAATCTAGCCAAAAACAATTTTATACAATCAACACGAGCTAAATGAATCAATTCCATATGAAATTACTAAGTTCTTAATCAAAAGTCAAAAAGTTAACTCAAAAGTTGACCCTCGGGCCCACGTCTCGAAATCCGATAAAAGTTATAAAATTCGGAAGCTCATTTAACCACGAGTCCAGCCATACAAAATTTACCAAAATCTAACACCAAATCGTCAGTCAAATCCCCAAATTAAACTCTCCAAATCCCTAGCCTCAAACTCCCAAAATTCTACCTCCAAACACACAAATTAGGTGGGAAATTTAATGGGGAAACAATATTATTGAATAAGTATGATCACAACTGACTTACCTCAACAAATCATTCGAAATACCTCTTAAAAATTTACTTAGACCAAGTTTGAAAAGTCCAAAAATGAGAAAAATCACGAAACCCTTAAATTTAATGTTCTGCCTAGTGCCTTCTCACCTGCGGAATCGCTTTTGCAATAATAGTACCGCTTCTATGGAAGTCACTTAAGTCCACAGGGTCCGCACCTGCGCTCCAAGTTCCGCACATGCGGAAGCACTTGTGCGACCCTCGATCCGCTTCTGCGAAGACAGCCTACACTCCCTTTCTCCGCATCTGTGGGCTCGCAGATGCAAAAGACCCCTAGCATCTGCGTCACACCCCAAGCAAGCCCATCTCCGCTCCTGCGCTACATCAGCTGCACCTGCGGCCAATCTCCTCGCAGGTGCGATCACTGCGAGGAGCGATCACACCAGAAGGCTCCCAGCTTCAGTAATTCTCTAAGTCCCATTTTCAATCCGATAACCATCTGAACTCCACCCTAGGGCCCCTCAATACCTCAACCAAACACACCAATAAGTCCTAAAACACGATACGAACTTAGTTGAGCCCTCAAATCTCATCAAACACCATCAAAACCCAAATCGCACCCCAAAGCCTAATAAAAACTAAGGAATTCCAACTTCTACAATCGATGTTGAAACCTATCAAATCTAAGTCTGATTGACCTAAAATTTTTCACACAACTCATAAATGACACAACAGACCTACTCCAACACCCAAAACCAAAATCCGAGCCCAGTAACCACAAAGTCAACTCTCGATCAAACTTCTAAATTTTCAAAGCTTTTTTCAACTTTTGCCATTTCAAGTCTAATTCAACTACGGAACTCCAAATCACTATCCGGACACACTACTAAGTCCAAAATCACCCAACGGAGCTATCGGAATCATCAAAACTCTATTCCGGAGTTGTTTACACAATAAGTCAACATCTGGTCAACCTTTTCAACTTAAGCTCCCAACCTTGAGACTAAGTGTCTCATCGCATTTCGAAATATCCCCGGAACCGAATCAACTACCCGGCAAGTCACATAACAACAATTAAGCAGTAAATGGGGGAACGGGGCTACAACACTCAAAATGACCGATCGGGTCGTTACACTTAAACTCACACGGGCAAAATTAGGGCTTCAATTCATAGACACAAACAAAAAAATGTAAATTCATGCACCAGATACTTCAGAGAGAAGAAGCCAAAGTGACATTAAACACACAGAGAAAAACACACGGCATCTCACGAGTTCAACAAAAAATTGAGAGGATAAGAAGATATTACCAAACTTCTTCAAAAACTTGAAAAGCAAGAGCCTTCTGCATCAAAATCAGAGGACAAAGCAGAAACACCTTAGAATGAACAGAAACCACCAAAAAACACCAAAAACACATTGTCACAGCCTCGTCGGAGAAAACAGAATCAGCAAAATCAAATGTAAAGGGTAGGATCGCTGGAAAGGCCGTGATCTAAGGAATCCATTGATGGCTCTAATACCATGAAAACATGAAGGATCGAAGCAGATTTAAGGTAAAATGTAAATGCAAACCCTAGTTCTAACAGTCTCTGAGAGAGAACAAAAGGGAAAACAATTTTCTCTTTTTATTCGATAGTCAACCCATCTGTACAAAATGAACGAGAGCTCTCTAATTACAACAAGTGAACCGGGTCTTATTAAGTTACAATAGTCCAATACAAATGTGTGTTAGGGAGACTTTAGTTGGGCCAGTTCAACTCTAGTGGGCTTCTTTGATAGTGGATTGGGCTGCTGCACATCCTGTGATCCAACACATATACATGCCTTTCTATGTAATTGAACGCCGGAAGATGTCAAAAGATTAAACACATATACCCAACTGTGAGAGAAAAGGACTTTATATTGGAAGATTTCATCAAAATATTGAATACGTATGCCCAACCGTGAGATTAAAGATCACATTTGACTGAATAAACTTTTCATAAAAGAAAAGAAAAAAGACTATGAGAGAAATGCCTTGTGCAATACCTTGCGTGTGCCAAGAGCCTAGAGAACTTTCCTATTTGAACACATTGGAATTGAGTGGTTAATTTATTTAAACCCTAGAATTTAAATGTTACTGTATTGACGGCTCTCGATGACTTTATCATCTCATTGCAGTTAAGTTGGTTCGTCCATTACTCCCATAAATGATGTAGAAAAAATTCTATGGTGTTTATGAGATTTTGGGATCAGAGTTAATAGTCTAAAACTTTAGTATTAATTTTTAGCGGCAAATATCCTATTATGATTTCATATTAAATGAGACAGAAACAAATTAAATTGAACTTGATACGTGAGAAGTGAAGTATCCCATTTAACTACTCTACCTTTGGCTAAACTTTTCAAAAAAGAAAAGATAAGTACTACTTTGCGTATGCCTTACTTCAACCATTTTGCATGATTACCATTTGGACCCCCTCTAATTTCCTCTAAAAATTACCTCATGACTCTCACAATTAAGAGAAATTACGATAGCATGTCTTTTTAGAATTCTGTATTTGCAAAATAATTCACGAGAAGGAAAAACAATATAAAACTAGAAAAGTAGAAGAAACAGAAATGAATCCGAGCTTACTGAATTTACAGTGTTTCCTTAAGAAACTTAATCCCCTCCTAATACCCGAGTTTGTGGATTATTTTCTCCCAGGATAGAACGGATTACACACTGGTGTAGCGGTACTTCAAAACTCAGTATTTCAACGAAGACAATGGCGGCAGCAAATGACTCTTACTGTTGTTTTTTTGTAGTTAAAACAATGCAGAAGAAAGGAGGTGATTTCAGACTTTTTGTAACGAAAATCTGAGGGATGGCCTTCTATTTATATCAAACATGTTGGGTTTAAATGAAGAGGTGCAACTCTTCAAGATGACTATTCACGTAAACGGCTATTACATAAATGGCTAATTACGCAAAATAAAACGGAAAAATAAAATCGGAGGAAAACTTTAAATTACCGTTACAAAAACGGTCGAGTTGGATTAAATATTAATATTTATCAAATAAATTTGGTCCAAAAAATTAATCAATCAATCAAATTATTTGACTAAACCCGAAGCTGAAGCCGAAGCCGAAGTCGAAGCCTAGCGAGCGACGACGATGACGGTGCGAGGCTTACCTTCTTCTCAACTCCTTAAGAGTTAGAAGAAGTGTAATCATATATTTACTCAACAAATGAGATTTTCTCTTTCAATACAGGACAATGTTCCTTTGTAAAGAAGGGAAAATCAAAATTTTATTTTTTCCTCCATTTCCCATTCACCCTCTTTTAAGCTAAACTAATTTAAAAAACCCAACAATTCCTCACATGAATGGGGAATGACTATATCACGTAAATATGCATGAAAAGAGTGTGATTCGCAAGCAAAGATTAATTGCATCTGGATAAGTAGGTTTCCCTTTGAACTTTCCGTAGTGAACTTATGTCGGATATACTCGATCAATCGGCAGATTTGATATCTTTGAACTGTCGAACTTTAGTGTATACCTAGACAACTATAAGTCACACAATCAACCCTTAACCGTTTTTGGTTCTCATTGTTGTGTTCGTTTCACCCATGAACACCGCCAGCTGCCCAAAAAACAATTTTGCTGCCCACATAACGATTATACTCAAGGCCTATTCAAGGCCCGAAAAACACATCAAATACATAACGAACCCACTCAAGGCCTAAAATCACATCAAACAACACCGATTATATGAATCGCAACCAAATTCAAACCTATTGAAACCATGAACATCCAACTTTCAAAGGTAATGTGAATTCATACCAAACCAAGTCCGTTCGCCTTCACGGTGTGCCAGTGTGCATCATTTCAGATCGGGGCACACAGTTTACATTGCAGTTTTGGAGAGCAGTGCAGCGAGAGTTAGGCACACGGGTTGAGTTTAGTACAACATTTCACCCACATACGTACGGACAGTGCGAGCGCACTATTTAGATATTGTAAGATATGCTACGCACTTGTGTCATTGATTTTGGGGTTTCTTGGGATCAGTTTCTTCCCCTTGCAGAGTTTGCCTGCAATAACAGCTACCAATCGAGCATTCAGATGGCTCCGTATGAGGCTTTGTATGGGAGATGGTGTCGGTCTCTGGTAGGTTAGTTTGAGTTGGGTGAGGCTAGGTTATTGGGTACTGACTTGGTCCAGGATGCTTTGGATAAGGTTAAGTTGATTCAGGATCGGCTTCGCACGGCGCAGTCTAGACAGAAGAGTTACGCCGATTGGAAGGTTCACGATGTTGCTTACATGGTGGGAGAGAAGGTAATACTTAGTATTTCTCCTATGAAGGGTGTTATGAGGTTCGGGAAGAAGGGCAAGTTGAGTGCTCTGTATATTAGGCCTTTTGAGGTGCTTGAGAGGATTGGAGAGGTGGCTTACAAGCTTGCATTGCTGCCTAGCTTGTCGAGTGTTCATTCAATGTTTCATGTATCCATGCTCCGGAAGTATGTCGGTGATCTGTCTCATGTTTTGGATTTCAGCACGGCTAAGTTAGATGGTGATTTGACTTATGATGTGGAGCCAGTGGCCATTTTGGATCGACAGGTCTAAAAGTTGAGGTGAAAGAAAATAGCTTAAGTGAAGGTGTAGTGGAGAGGTCAGCCAGTCGAGGAGGCTACTTGGGAGACCGAGCGAGAGATGTGGAGTAGATATTCACGCCTATTTGAGACTCCAAGTATGATTCTAGACCCGTTCGAGGATGAAGGTTTGTTTAAGAGGGGGTAGATGTTACGACTCGGCCGGTCATTTTGAGTGTTGTAGTCCTGTTCCAACTTTTACTTCTTATTCTATGCTCAATTGTTGTTATGTGACTTTCCTTGGTGGTTGGTTTGGTTCCGAGGATATTTCGGATTGAATTGGGACACTTAGTCCCAAGGTTAAAAGCCTAAGTTGAAAGAGTTGACCGGATATTGACTTATGTGTAAATGGCTCCGAAATGGAGTTTTGATAGTTCTGATATATTCGTCGGGTGATTTTGGACTTAGGAATGTGTCCAAATAGTGATTTGGAGGTTCGAAGTTGATTTTGACTTGAATTGACGAAAGTTGGAAAAAATAGAAGTTTGGAGAGTTGAGTAGTTTGACTGAGAGTTGACTTTATGGTTTTCGGGCTTGGATTTTGGTTTTGAAAGTTGGAGTATGTCTGTTGTATCATTTATGACTTGTGTGCAAAATTTGAGGTTAATCGGAGTTGATTTGATAGGTTTCGGCATCGATTATAGAAGTTGGAATTCATTAGTTTTCATTAGGCTTGAATTGGGGTGCGATTCATGTTTTTGACATTGTTTGATGTGATTTGAGGCATCGACTAAGTTTGTATCATGTTTTTAACTTATTTTTATGTTCGTTTGAGGTTTGGGGGGCATCGGGTGGATTTCGAATCGTTATCGAAGTGGAATTGGACTTTGGAGATGGCTGAAGTCTTCTGATGCTATGGGTTCACGTTTCCTTCTATGTAATTGCTAGGTTAGGTCAGCGATCGCGAAGGGTCTTTGAGGGCTGTTGAATTTTTCTTCTTCCCTTTCGCATACTGAGGGACGCGATCGCCGAGGTTGTGAAGCTTGTGCGTCGCGAAAGCGTAGAGTGGATCACGTTTGGTACAAGGAAGTGAGGCAGCTGGGGTCACACGAAGTTGCTCTTCGCCATCGCGTGGGGATGTTCGCGATCGCGTAGTTCTGTGAATCAGTGAACCGCATTTGCATGGAGTCAACTGCGTTCGCGAAGTCCATTTTGGGGGCAGCTTTGTTTTGTTCTTCGCGATCACGAGGAACTTTCCGCGATCGCGAAGAGTAATCACTAGGCGGCAGTGTTAAATTTTAAAAACGAGAGTTTGAACCCATTTTTCATATTTTGTGTTACAGACCTTGGATTGGGGCGATTCAAATGGATTTTCAAGGAGTTGATTGGGGTAAGTGATTCTAACTCGGTTTTAGTTGTATTACATGAATCCATCATTATTTTTGTTATTAAATTAGTGATTGGATTAGGAAAATTTTTGGGGAAAATGGTAAAACTTCTTAGGCTAAAATTTGGGGATTGGAGTGGCATTTTGGTGTCGAATTTGAGTAATTTTGGTATGGTTGGATTCGTGTTTGAATGGTTGTTCAGATTTTGTAACTTTTGTTGGATTCCGAGACATGGGCCCTGGGTTGAATTTTTGAGTTGACATTTTGACTTTAGTTAAACATCGTAGTTTTATTAACTAGAATCAATTCCTATAGCTTTTATTGATAGTATTACGTTATTTTGGATAGATTCGAGCCTTCCGGAGATTGATACGCGTGGGAAGAGATTGCTAGCGGAGTGATTGGATTTTCTTGAGTAAGTATCTTATTTAAACTCGGTTGAGGCACTAGTTGCCTAAATTGAGAAGATGTACGATATATATCATATGAGGAGGAAAACCTTAGAAGAGGCCAAAGCGGGCATCGTCGATATTGATGATTGCAATGTCAAGGCCCGAGAACTAGAGCTAACTGCTCGAGAACATCTCCCTGCTCGGCCCTTTACAACCGATTCTTCGAGCACTGGTTCCGAGTATTTGGGAACCGAAGGTGAAATTGAAGAGAATGATAATGAAGGTCCAATGTAATGACTAGGCCGGTCGTTTAGAATGTTGTAGCCTTGTTCCCCCAT